AACCACACGCGAGTTGTTAAGTTAAATTGTTTCATGAAAAAATCCAGGAAAAAAAAACGTTAAAAAACCCCGCAGGATATCCAAATTTATGCAAATGTTGCAGAATTATGCGGAAAAACGCGACGGCATAATCGCATAATCCGACGTGGACAGTAACATTCACTTTGGAGAAAAAAGAAAGATACAGTTGTGACTCATAATTACCTTGTATTTCGTCGTGGGTTCTACTAAAGAAGAATGTGGTGGAAGTTCGCGAAAGCGGCATCCCATTCCACCGGTAAAGTTTTGATAGTGGTAAATATTGCTTGGTAGGCTGCAAGGCTGTTTATGGATGTTCTAAGTGGTGTGGTTTTATTTCTGAATGGGACAATATCAGCTGTAATGTCTTCATTTTCTCTCTTTCTTTCTTTTTTCCCAGCGGACAATCGGCTGAAAGAACTACGACCCAGACAGAAGCAGGACTACTCCGTGTTTGGTGGGGAGGAGCGCTCCAAGCTGTCCCAACAACTGGCCTTCGTGGCCTTCCAGTTCCTGACCACTAGTAAGTTTTGACCAGTGTGCTGATCGTGTGCCCAGAGAAATAAATAGTCGGCTGTCCGACCATTAATAGGGAAAGACTTTATTCAACCCGAAGGGGCAACTTAACCGATGGAGAGAACACTTTGATCAACTATTGAACAGACCACCTCCAGAAAACCAACTAGAAATTCTTCCAGCCAGAAATGACCTCCCAATAGTCACGGAACCACCTTCAAGAGAGGAAATTGCAGCCGCTATAAAAACACTGAAGTCCCACAAGGCAGCTGGTCCTGACCATATACCACCGGAAGCCCTTAAGGCAGAGAAAGATAGGTTTGTGGAAATTCTCTATGCTCTGTTTGAAAAGGTTTGGCAAAAGGAGGAAATACCATCAGACTGGAAGGAAGGCCACCTAATCAAGCTGCCAAAGAAAGGAGATCTCAGCAATTGTAACAACAACAGAGGCATTACACTCCTGTCCATACCGGGGAAAGTCTTCAACAGAATACACCTGGAGAGAATCAAGCTGGCAACAGATGAGAAGGTTCGAGGAAACCAGGCAGGATTCCGCAAAAACCGATCATGTGTGGACCAGATTGCTACTCGGCGTATCATTGTTGAGCAATCGCTTGAATGGAACTCTCCACTCGTGGTCAACTTCATTGACTATGAAAAGGCGTTTGACAGCGTGGACAGGGAAACTCTGTGGAAACTCATGCAGCATTTTGGAATACCTGAGAAAATCGTCAAGCTTGTGAAGGCCACCTATGATGGAACAAACTGCCAAGTCTTCCACGAAGGACAACTCTCAGAACCATTCCAGGTACAGACAGGAGTGCGACAAGGATGCTTGCTCTCACCTTTCCTTTTCATACTGGCAATTGACTGGGTCATGAAAGAAGCCACCAGAGGCAAACGTAATGGAATACAATGGATCCCTTGGCAGCAGCTGGACGACTTAGACTTCACCGATGACCTTGCGCTGCTCTCTCACACACATGCTCAGATGCAAGAAAAGACCAAGGAACTCAACAGGCTATCAAGGAGTGTTGGCCTACGTATACATCCAGGCAAGTCAAAAGTAGTGAAGCTAGGAAAAATTTCAAGCCCTGCTGTGACAGTGGAAGACACTTCCCTGGAAGAAGTGGACTCCTTTACCTACCTTGGAAGTGTCATCGATGGTAAAGGTGGAACCGAGGCAGACGTTAAAGCAAGAACCGCCAAGGCAAGGTCAGCCTTCAAGCAATTATCAAAAGTCTGGAAAGCAAGCAACATCTCGCTGCGCACCAAGATTCGACTCTTTAACTCCAACGTCAAGTCTGTGCTCCTCTACGGCTGCGAAACTTGGAAGACAACGAAAACAGTACTGAATGAAGTCCATACTTTCATCAACAGATGTATGAGGAATATTCTAAGAATTAAGTGTCAGGATAGAATAAGAAATGAAGAACTGTGGGAAAGGACAGGACAAAAGGATATAGAAGTAGAAATAGGACTAAGAAAGTGGCGATGGATGGGACACACCTTAAGAAAGCCCAGCGGAAACATCACAAGACAGTCACTGCAGTGGAACCCACAAGGAGCACGAGGCAGGGGTAGGCCACGGGAAACATGGAGGAGATGCGTGGAAAGGGACATCAGAGAAATGAAGCTCACTTGGAACGAGCTTGGAAGGATGGCTCAGGACAGAGATAAATGGAAGGAGCTTGTATGTGGCCTATACCCTGCCAGGGGTGAAAGGCATTGATGATGATGATGATGTCCGACCATTATGGAGTACAATGCCCCTGCTGGTGGGATGCCACTCTCAGCCAAACATAATTTGTCTGGCTTAGCCTATAGTGCACATTTTTCTGAAACAAAAAACCTATCATACTGCGTTGAGTGTAGGTCTTTATATGTACTGTGTGTAGTGTAGGTCTTTATATTTACATGTTGCTTATTCAGTTGAAATACACTAGGCATCTGTTGCTGTTACAAGCCACATTTTTTTCCATATTTTACAGACCCATATTTTCAAATTAGGTTTTTATGTTCTGAAATTTTGCTGCCTATAAATTTTGCTTTTGTCATATAACGGGATCATAGTGCTGGGGGGTAGGGGGGGAAGTTTAGGGGATAACACTATCTAAAGACATTTTGGTAAATGATGGCAGGTTTATTCATTCAATACAGGGTTCAAACCTCCTGCGAGCCAAGGTTTACAAATAGACCCACTGCACATGAGACATCAGCTGCAGGTGCAACCCTTACTATAAAAATTTAAAAAACATGAACATTTCTTCCTCTTATGATTTATACTTTTGTGTATCACTGCTGTCCTCTTTCTTCCTCTTTCCTTTCATTTTGCTTTCACTTTACGCCGAGGGCTGTGCCTACGAAATGAGCTTTTTGTGTGAAGTAGGTTATTGTATTATTTGAAAACTGATGAACAGTATTGTTCATTTACTGACATGATGAACAGTATTGTTCATTTATTTAATCAATGTTTCAAAGTTTCAGCGATCTCCTGTGTAATGTGTTTTTCTTTCATTGTGCTGTTTTTCTAACCCATTTTTCTCTCTGTGCTCAGCTGTTGAACCATTCTCGGATGACTACCTGGCCCGCAATGTGGTCAAAAACTTGATGAAGAAGGACATTGTGGTCAACCTGTCCCCCACAGATCCCGTCTCAGAAAAGAATTTCATATATCGGAAAGGGGTGGCTTCTGATGTCTTCGTTCTGGTCCTTCAAGGTTTGTCCTAAACTTGTTCCATAGCGTTTTTTCCTATTTTACTCTTAACTGTCATGTATTGTCTAATTGTTTCTGCTCCTTTGTCTTTTCAGTGTGTCTAATATCATAATGTACAATAAGTAAATTGAAAATTTGATTCTAAGCTTGGTCTCAGTGGATGTTGTGTTTCCTCAGTTCATTTTACTGGAAATAGGTTCTTGGCAATGAAGCGGCTTTGTGCATTAAAGCAACTGCACTGAGCTCTAGCAAGGGTACAAAAAGAAGAAGACGGGGGTTCGATGTAACTGTTTAAGGCAACGTATTTGATTTGTTGTGGTATATGTCTGACAGGTTGCAGCCGTTTATGACCCATCTTGTGGGTGGTTGGCGGGTGCTCTGGTGTGGTTTGCTGCTTCTTTCCTATCGAACATCTGTCCTCTTTATCTCCCCTCCTTCTTTTTTGTGTTTGTTACTCTCTTTTAACACCTAATCATCTGCACTTATATGACCTAATTGTGTTGCAAGTGCCATAAAACACCTACTATAACTAATTGTCCCATCTTGGGATTGATTTAGTAATTTAAAATGAACAGGCAGATGAGAGTTGTTGTTAAATCATGTAAGCCTTCAGCTTCTTAAGTTACTCTCTAAGTCTATTTAATGTGATATATGGTACTGTTAGGGTATGTTAAACTGCAGTTCCACTGAACTTGGATTAAGTTTTGTAACCTTTTTTGTTTTTATTTTGAACAAATTTGGGTTTTTTACAATCTTTATCAAGTGGATGTTTGTACCATCTGCTTAACTTTCAGAAAAGTTATAGCTGTGAGTAAAGAGAATATTTATGTTTCAGTAGAAATAAGTCTTTTTGATTTTTTAGCCTCTTTTGTGCAAGAAGTAATCAGTAGACTTTATTTTGTTTAAAAAGTTACGAAAAGTACTGATAAAATAATTCATATTGTTTTTTCCTTCTTTCATCAGGAACAGTGGAAGTTACGATAGGTGATGAGAGCATGGTTTTTGAAACTGGACCCTTCAGTTATTTTGGAGTTGAATCTCTCAAATGTGAGTGTTTTTGCGTTACTCTTCTTATGTGCTAAAAATTATTTTGTATTCTAAAAAGCATCTCATTTGATATTCTCAAGAGTGGAAAATATTTGAAATATTTAGATTTCTTGCTGCTGTCTTATTTAATATTTTTAGAAATAAAGAGAACAAAAGTAAATGATTGCATGATATTAAAAATCTCTTTTCATATTACATACAATAAAATCTTTGGTTCATGTTCGTAAAACACCACTTTATTTCAGCATTATATTGTGACTGGAAACGTAGTTCAAAAGCTCAGGCTTTTATATCTGTAGATTTACAGTTAAGTTATGTGAACTAAATTACTCCAGCTGTTAGGCTTTCCGTATATGATGGTTATAAGGAATAAATTTCAAGTCGCAGACATGTTGAGGAAAGGTGAAAGGGATAAAGCAATGTAACAGCCTTATTTAGATCTGGCTGTCCAAGCTGGTAAGGTTTGATAGTGGTGCTGTGCTATTTTGAGGAAATGGAACTTCTTCAGAGTTTAGCCATTATTAATGCTATTTGAATACTGCTTGCGAATATGTTCCTCATAAGTCCATTCGGAACAATGGCTGTTTAAAATTTTCTATTCACAGCAATATTCACTAAGTGCACAATAGCCATGCATACTGTGCGATACAGTGACCTCACATCACTGTTCATAATGCTTCATTCAGATTTAAAATAAGGGATGGGAACTTATTGTAAAAGCCTACTATTAATTTTTTTGCAACACTCCCGGCCCTGCACTTCATGAGTGATAAGCCATTGAGCTATTCATGGTGTGACTATTGAATAATGAACTGCAGTGAACACTTCTTAGAGGCATGTTTTATAACTCTTGTTGGCTCCACTTATTACTCTGTCATGTAAAAGTATTCAAGTACAAAGTATTCCTGTATTTACCAATATCATTTAAGATATAACATGCTTTAATTTTGCAATAGCTTGAGGAAGAAAAAAGATTAAAATCCATTATCTGGTAGAATCTCACAGCATCAAATGGCTCTGTGATGCTTTAAATATCTGTAAATAGTGCAACAATTATGAATGTTGAATAGTAAAGTCGAATGGGAACAGCTCAAGTCAGTGGATGTTACAATGCCACAGTAAGGGAGGCTGCAGGATCTTTGTTGAAGAAATGAATGAGTTAGTGGGGCTCACTATATTGGTGTTTGTCTTATTCAGATGTGTGTTGCTGTCTCCATTTTTAAGGACTTTTGGAGTCAAGTTGATATTATGTCAAGTAAAATGAAAATTGTTGGGTGCTGGCTTCGAATAGAAATTTGAGTTGCTATTGAAGTTTAAAGCTTTCCACAATTAATGATTTATAGTACCAAAGTGTTTTGATGATGGTCATGAACATTACCTCACTACCAATAGTACTTTGTATGCGTAGATCAGTTTACTAGATCCAAAAGAGTTTAACTTTTCTATATTTGTTATGTTGTAGGTTTAGACAGCTTCCCAGGCCCAGATTGAAAAAAATCAGTGTTGGAATTAAGAGATAAAACAGATTTTTTTAAACATTTAATTAATTTTTGTTCATACATCATTTTTAGATGAGCACAATTTGCTTGGTAATAGTTTTGGAACAAAAGGGACCAAATTCTCAGAGATTCTCTGTCTTACCATTGCTGAAACATGAGATAGACAAACTAGTGCTAATGGCTGATTATGTTTGTCCAGGTATCCGGAAGATGTCAACAGTGAACGAGTTCAAGAGCCAGGACTACATCCCAGACTTCTCTGTACGAGCCTTGACTGATGTCCAGTATCTTTGCATCCGCCGTTCACAGTACCTGGCTGGCTTGCGCACTACCAGGATGATTCGGCAGCAGACATCATCTGCCCTGGTTGTTGGGGATGCCTTTGAGGAGGAGTATGAGAAAGCGACGAAAGGCAACACCACCAACTCCAATAGTGTTTTGGACAGTCACTCTCCATCCAACTTACCCCTCGAGGCACTCAAACACGATGACTGGCACAAGAAGAAGTCAACATCTTCTCTGGATCGCTTGACATTTTTCCATCGCAAACCTGACCCACATGAGATTCTAAATCGAATGAGAAGAAGTGGCTCAGACGCCAAAGACAGGTGTGCAGAGTACCACGGTGATGTGGATAGCTCCAGCTGGAAACGTTCCACCGATGCAAAGGTCAGGAAATACTCAGAAGATGCTGAGAAGGCCAGTCCCCAAAGCCCTGCTGCTGACCATAAGAGCAAGTCCTCCCACTCCTCTCTGCCATTTGCTGCCCTTCACAGTAACCACAAACTGGATATTCTGCCGGATGAGGAGAAGGGAGAGGGTGTCTGTATGAATCAGAGTGAGGCAGCAACATTGTCAGCTACTCCGGCAAAAGTCTCTTCTTATCTGTCAGGCTCTGAGAGCAGTCCCGATCTGGAGAACAAGGATACTGCGCAGCCCCTGCCCTTCTCTGGACAGGCCTACGAAATGGATGAAAAAGCTTTAAGTGATTCGTCGGCCAATGGCAAAGGCTTAGAGAAAGTCCCATTGGTGGTCACAAAGCCTTCCTCTCCTGCAAGTAAAAGCACAGAGACCCCCAGCAGTGGTTCTCAAAATTTCTACAAGAACATTAGCAATGCTGCCCGTGATGCTGAGAAAGTTCCCCTTATGCATCAGGAAGGATCTTCCAATGATGTCTCACCCAACGACCCAGCTGTGTCCTAGCTGGAAGCATAACTTATGCTTTGGTCTTGCTTAGTTTGGTATTCATACACTTTTAGTGGGTCAGTTGAATTTTCTTTCGATGTATCTTATTTTCTCCTCCTGAAAGTAGATTTCAGTTGACATGAAAAAAATTTTCGCCCATTTGGTTTGGCTTCCATATAATATCAGGCCATGTTTTGAATAAACTATTGGGACTATTGGGACTGGAAAATGTGTCTAGGCTTGCTTTCGACCCCAGAAATGTAAACCCCATGTGAAATTGAAGCAACTATTCAATATCGGTATCAAATTCCTTTGTCTTAATTTTGTATATGTTGTAGATAAAGAAAGGAATGCCAAATTTGATTATAGTGTAAAGTTTTATTGTGTATGGCTTTCTCCAATATTGTGATCACAATCAAACCATAATCGTGAGTTCTTGCGGCTTGTTACGCGCCACTGCTGTGATCTGTTTTCTGCTTGAGTTTGCTGTAGATATTCTGATGCTTTACAAGTATTGTGAAGGAGTTTGACCACATGTGAGCTTGGCTTAATTCGATTGGGCATGTCTAAATAGCGGGTTTCCAAATAAAAAGGACCCATTTATAGGGCAATAACTCGATCATCCTAAGACTGATATCAACAAAACTTGGGAAAAATAAAATTCAATCAAGGGGGTGTCACAATAGTTAATATGAATATCAACAAACATTTGCTAAAATATCAAGTTTGAAAAATTACAACCAAAATTGAGTGAAATGACAAACTTTGCAACTTCTTAAAAATCAATGATAATGTGTATTTGTGTATTGGAGAACAATTTTTTTCTAAAACTGACATTGCCAAACAAACTCAGGGAAGGTGGTGACTGCTTAAATTTTAGTGATTGTATGCTCCAGGTGTAGACCATTTCTTTCCGGACAAGCTCGAACGCATCACTTGAAATTTTGAATAACCATGTAATATGTTTCTGGGTCAATTCTTCGGACCTCCAGTTCAACACTGAGTTTCAAATGCTCAATTCACTATTTGTTAATATTTCTATAGATTGTCAGTCAAAAAAATTCCCAAAGGAGATAATTGAGGGGGAGGGGGGGGGGAGATACAGTGATCATTCATTTGTAATTTTTTGGCTTTTAAGGCATTCTCAAAATCACTCCTGCAATCATGCTAGGGGCCACTCTTGAATTTTGAGAATCTGGGCCCATCTTACTGAGCCAGGACACCTCCCTAAACTGCTGCAAAACTTTCTCAACATTTTGAGATATCCATCGTATTGTCCACATCCTGAAACCAGAGCGTCCAATCACACACCCGTAGCTGAATGCTTTTAAGAAGTTAAGTTTTGTGTTTCACTCAGTTTTGTTTAAAAAAATGAAAACTTTATATTTATCTTAGGCATTGAGTGATTTTTTTCATATTGACCACTTTGATATCCCTTCGTTAAATTTCATTTTTTCAGTTTTGTTGAAATTTGTACAAAGATGACCATGTTATTGCCCTTCAAATTGTCCTTTTTCGTTAGAAACCCTAAACTATGATTGTGCACAGTGTTGAGGATAGTAAAAAGGTGACTGAGTTTTTGCATCTATATTGAGTGTTTTTAACGTTTTGTTCTCATTCGTACAACTTTGAATACAAAGCTGGCTTGGTAGAATCTTTTGTCATTTTATTCCTATTTGCAAAAGCACTCAATGACTTGTTTACTACTTGCTTGACTTGGACCTTCTATGCATGAAGAAATTATGACCAATTTCAGTGTACAGATGAGGTGGTGATGTTTGATGTCGTGTAATTATTCTAGATTTGTAGTTCATTGTCTGGTCCAAGCTGAGATTCATCGACCAAATCAGTGAAATTCTGAAGGGAATTTAATCGGTAGCAGTGAAATCATATTATGATTGACTTTCCTTCATTTCATGTGTTATTAAGTTTAGATTCACTTATAAAGAAAAATTAAACACATTTGTGACTACTGTTACAACACAAAAGTGGCACTACTGTTGGATGTCCTCTCTGTAGATCAAAAGATAGCTTTGCAAATTTGGACATATCTTTTTTCAAAATTAAAAGTTATTGGAAAGGGCCACATTTAAAGTTAAATGTGTAAAGAAGAGCTGAGCTTTTCCCCCAACCTTTTATTAACTATATATAGAGATCTGTCAGACATTTTTAGTACATTTTCGTATTACATCTGTCAATGGTGCCAACACTCTGGTCTAGTCACGCCAATGTTATCACATGAGTTTATAAAAATTTCATGCTTGTAATAAATTTTGATGTAGTGAATAGTCTTGATGGTATGTGTGGCTACTATAGCTGACCATGTAGTGGACTGGTTAGCAAGTACTTGGCTAGAGCTCATAGCAGTACTAAGTTCCTGGCTTCTTCTGGGATTGTTTAAATTACAAAACTCACTGTCTGAAATCATATCTTGTGTTTCAGTCTCATGTACATTATATACAAATGTGTACACAAGTTGGAAGATGAAACTATTCTGAAGTTGTATACTTAGGATTTTTTGTGATTATAGCTATGCTTGACAATTGATGCTTTTTCTTTTGCCAAATTAGATAGGATCTATTTGTACAATTTCAGATTTATGTAGAAAATCATATGACAGATTTATTCTTAAGTTGGTGACATCCTAACTCAGAATAGAGCTCAATGTAAGTGAAATAGTTATGCCCATGGAAGCTTATTTCTCTCAAAATGTAGTCTCAGCCAATATTTGAAAATGGTTGTTCTTCTTCACTTTATCAACTGCAGCAGACCTGCTCTTATCACTACATGGCATTGGACAGAAGGGCGAGAGCCCAGCTGTTGCTGGATCGATAACAACAACAACAACAAAACACTTTATCTGTTAAAGAAAGCCCAGTACCTGATAGAGTGAATCAGTTCTTTTGTTCCTGCCTGATCTACTTTGTCCTTTCCTTGTAGATGTGAAAAGCGAAAGTAATTAATTGGGGGAGGGAATTTCTTATGATTGTCGCTGGTTAAAATACGAAAAAAAAAAAAATTCCTGTCCAGTCATTAGGAATTGTTCTTTTCTTTTAAAAATGCCTTAAGACATGTTATAAAGTGTGATTCATAGTATGAGTTCGCTTTATATTGTTTTCTGTTTGCATTGCGTTGATAAGACACTTACTGATTTTTACACAATATGTGTGTAGGTACTTCTCTATGCAATATTTATCCTGAGTTATGTAAGCTTAAGAAGTGATTATGTCAACAGTTTTCAAGTAGTCAAGACACAGTTTAATTTATGGTTTTTCGTTAATTCTCCAAAGGTCTAGTGTATTGATGTTGGATCATGAAGGACTGACTGTAGTTTTACAGCTGTAACTTCCGATAGAGACGGAGACAAAAGATATAAATGATCACAATATTACGGTTTGACATGTTGCATTTTGCAAATAGGACTGAGATGTTGCACTGAAATTATCTGGCTGACATTAGAGTTTTGAAGTCATCTGAGCCTTTTGGCAAATGGAAGATGCGAGTGTAATTCTGCTGTTTTACTATAGCTACTAGCTTTCCAGAGTTAATTGCTTAGGTTTGCTTAGTTGTTGGCAATATACTTCCATCCTGCCTTCAAGCCTTTTAGAGAAAACAACTTGGTTGTGAGGCTCCGGCATGACTGATAAGTGAATATATATATTCCTCCTGCCTGAAGGTAGCAATGTGAAGAGAATATGGGGTATAGATACGCTCCTGCCACAACAAGGGAATTCGATATCCTCACATACACCTCAGGCAGGAAAAATACAACCCCTGAGGGGGTGCCTTCTTCCTTCACCATAAAATTTTAAAAACTCCAACAGAAATAAAACATCTGAAGAAGACATGTTGGTTTTGCTACATGGCACTCACCTGAAGGAAACTTTTTTGGCAACTACTGGATGTAAGGCAACACTCAGGAACCCAACTTATGGTCAGGTTAGATGTAAGGGTTTGGCTCCAGGGGATGTCAGGTTCTTCTTTTCTGATCTTTTGAAAAGTAGACTGTCATAGAGGCTTTGTTACTTTGTAGATAGATCAGTTGGCTCCGTCCTGAATTCTGAGCATATGTGTCACGACGCGATAGAATCAGGCGCTCGTCAATTTTGTGGTATTTGGAGTTATTGGTATCATCTTAAAGCCTTGCTTTTGATGGAAAAAATATCCGTTTTTCTTGGACACAAGTCAAGATATTGGCGATTGAAGGAGGTGGCGGTTGCCTAGTTTCAGAGGTAAATTAGCGATAAAATGGCTGCCAAATTTGCATTATTTCCTTAGCTTGAGAGTCCATGGAAACTTAGAATTTACATCTTTTATGCCTTTAATCAATGTTTTTCAGTAAAATCCGCACAGAAATGTGTTCCTAAATGGACATGAAAGGTGTTGAACCAAAAGACTAAATTTCGATAAAATCCCCAAACCTGCGGAAAGATTCTTCACTTTCATTATTTTGACGAGCGCCTGATTTGACCACGCTGCCTCACATATGGTTCTGGTTTGATTCCCTAAAGGCTTTATATCTTTTGGGGACTGGTTGTCGTAGAAGTTTTCAAGGCGCTCCACCCACTTGTTTCAGTCATATCAAAGAGAGGCATCAAATTTCAGTTGTTCAGCCTCTTGAATAGCTTCAGTGTTTTCAGGGCCATGAAACCTGTACCAAACCATATCAATAATGATAATTGTAAAAAGCATCTAAATATTGCTCCGTCTCATTAGGTTACAAGCTCTGGACTCTGTACAATATTTTAAAGGCTGTTTACGATACAAAAAGATGTGCTTTCAAATGCAGCTACTGCATTCAAGACAAGACTATTATATGATAGACTCTCACATAAATCTTCTCAGGTTGTCCTCTGAAATGTGTAAAATGTTGATGTGGAGGCAATTCATAAAGCCATATGATGAAGAAATGGTTATAAATTAAAGCTTTTAATTATAATGCTATATTTCACATACAGTAATTATTTGTTGTCAAATGATACATTAGATTTTTTTATCTTTGTTTTTCTTCTTTAATTTTAGAGCAGTTGGATTGTTTAGTCCCTTTGTCAAAGGTCTTTGTTTAAAATTTTTATGTTGCTGAAAATTAAGGGAAAGGACTTGATGGTTTTAGCGATATTTAAAAAAAGACATTGATTTTTACAAATACATAATGGGGTGCACGAGTGTGTGTATGTGTTGTTGTCACTCTGAATATTCCTGTTAGTATTGCAGCATTGTTGGATGTTGACATGCAAATGATACAATCTGCTGCCATGTTATGCTGTCTGGTTCTTGTACATTTTGTTTGTTGACAATATAAAAATTGCACCTGACTTCATATGGTTATCTGCCTCACTGTTGCACAAAAGCCATGCTATTTTCTGTACCAGCACATGCTGTTCTTCCTGTGTTGCAAGCCTTAGCCAGCCACCACCAGAGTAGACTTATAGTGTCTTGATATTCAAATACTTTGTGAATGAACATCTCAGCTGCTTAGTGTAAGACCCTGCCATACACCACTGTCAATTGTTATGTGTGGCAGAGACCTGCACTGAGCAGTCAATCTGTATTTATAGTCCAGGGTCTGTATTTTTAGTCCTGAGTCCTGTACAGTAGAGGATCTGGTTGTCCAAAGTTTGTTTGTCACAAGTTTCTTTTTCTCATGATATCCACAATAATTTTTTACCTTTGCCTCACTATATTTTGATGATAATATGTAGTTAATGAACTGGATCTTGTCACAGCATGATAATAATGACTTTTCTCCATTTCAAAAATTGCCCTTTACTCTCATTTTAACCATGTGAAGATAGTCACTAGCACTCTTGCAAAGTTTTTTTTTTTTTTTTTTTTTTGGTTCTTCTCATTACACCAGTACCCTCAGTGCTAAATGGCTTGGCCTTTCTCCTTGCTTCCGGCAACCAACACCAACATCACGAAACCATACACCTGTATAATGGTTTTATTAGCATCCCATGTCACTTTCATACATTTTTTCATTTTTTAAAATACTGTGTCAGTGCTATTTATGTCTACTGCACAGTTTTATTCTTTGAAAATTGTGGGTTTTGTTACAGCATTTATTAAGACCAGTTTTTCTTAGCAACCTGGAATGTATGTGTAAATGCCCATTAATATACATATGGCGCTGAATATTCAAATTAGCATGTTTTTTTTTGCCAACAGTGCTGCTTTACTGACTTTAGTTTTGTACTTATTTATCATTGATTTTGGTGTTTGCTTCTATTACACATATTCTAATCAAGACACCTTTAGCGGTACACACAAAGAAAACAGTGTGGGTCTCATTTGAAACTGTCTCATGCACCATAGGCCTTGCAAATGTAGCAATGTGCGCCTTTTAATGGTTTGCGTGACTGGTTTCTGTAGATTAGATTCATACTTTACTTACTGTCGTCAAACATGTTTGACTTAAAGGAGAGTAGCTTGCTATGCCTTCTATAGAGGGTTTTTATCATACAATATAACTAAAGAATCCAAGAATGTTACCAACATAAATAACTCCTGTTTAGGTTAAGTGGGTCAAGGGGTTATATGTTGTCTTTATCTACTTTTAAATGATACAAATATAATCAACGTTGGATCACATACGTTTGATCATGTTTGCGCATGGTTTGGTCAACTTGGTGATGACCAGTTGTTTACTCTGACCAATACTCAAAAAAAAAAATTTCTACATTATTTCTTCATTAAGATTACCCTTTTTTAGCACACTGTTCCATTTTTCAAATATTAATAATGTCCTGGCAAGGACCCTTCCCCTCCATATCTCTTCTGTGTATCAGATGTGCAAGGATTTCTTGAATTAGCATGCACAAATCATGTGAAAAGGGATGCATATTCTAAGCCACATCAGGTTTGTGTGTTTAGGAGCTTTTCTTTTCCTTCTGTGCTATCTTGCTGTTTGCAGGAAGGCCTGTTATGGATAGAGTAACAAATGGTATGGTGGCTTGTATATGCTATCTTCACATATCTCAGTTATTTGAATTTTTCAGCCTTGGTTCATTACAGATAAACTTAAAGAGTCCGCCTCCATTCATCAGAATTGTTCTCATAAAAGTCTTGGCTTGACTGCAGCCAGGTCTAATCACCCTTTTTTCAAACAATTTTGTTCAGTTTTAGATAGAGTTCACAGTGTTCTGGCACAGAATGGTTTTCAAGTACCGACTGTTAATTTACAGTTTAAGTTCAGTTTTCCATTTTGTTCCTTTAGCTGCTTGTGGTTAATTACAAAATAACCGGGGTTTAAAAAAATGTTTTAGTTGATAATAATTCCCAAAAGTGAATAATGTTGCACAAGGAAATTGATAGGGTATTACCCTTGAACTCAATGGATGCTTTGAGCATAATATACTTTGACACTGAAACCCTGTTCTAATTATATAGTCTGTATTGTTTTGCACAGAGCTTGAACGTAATTTTATAATGATAATGATATTAGTAAAGTCCATTATAATAATAATGATATTAGCAAAGTCCATTTATATGGCACTCTTTGTGTGTGGATCCAGGCCCTTTAAGATAATATGCACAACCATACCAGAACTTTGTACATGCAACATACTTTACAAACACCCCCCCCCCCCCCACTATCCTGCTCTGTTTGTCTCTCTCTCTCTCTGTTTCTCTCTCTGCCTCTGTCTCTGTCTCTGTCTCTCTCTCTCTCTCTCTCTCCCTCTCTCTCTCTCTCTCTCTCTCTCTCTCTCTCTCTCTCTCTCTCTCTCTCTCTCTCTCTCTCTCTCTCTCTCACTCTCTCTCCCTCCATCCCCCACTCCTTCTCTTCCTCTCTTTCTCTGTCCTCTCTTTCTCACTCACTCTATCTTACTATCTATCTACATCTTTCCATTTATACATATATACATATACTGCAGACTCATACTCTCTCATGAAACAAACACACTTGTACAGAACGTGTAGAATAAGCACCAGTTGGTTGTAGACATGCTCTAACAAAGAGGTAGAGATCAAACACCTTTTGACAAAACAGTATTACAGAAAGAATTTGCTGAGTTGGTG